ATAAGCCAGGGCTGCCCAGCTATTAATGACAGCTGATATCAGACTGCAGCATGGCAGCAATTCCTCACACAGCCTTAATGACAGACTTTCTGGTAAGCAAAGCCATTAGAAGAGGAATGTTGCCAGGAATCCTAAATCCCTGACTCTGACATGCTGAGGTTTGGAAGCTTCAAATTCAAAGCTGCCTCATGGGAGATGGTTTGTCAAGATGATTTTTGACTCAGGAATTCTTTCAGCAGTGTTTACCCTTCCTCAGGTCATGCCATGCTGACAACACTGTCACTCCACCTTCACCTTGGTCTCTGCTCTATTCATGTTTGTTACCTCCTTTTAGTCCTTTATCCATTTCCACATCTTTAAAGAAAGCAAGTTCCTTCACTTTTGTCCTGGTAACTGTACACAGAAGCTTCATGATCATCTCATGTTTACTGACCAGGATCAGCATGATATTCCACCTCCCTGGAAAGGACACAGAGGTTCTGGTGGATGCCAGGTTGGAGATGAACCAGCTCTGTGTGCTCATCATAAAGCTGAACTGGGAGGTGTGTGGCCAGCAGAGCGAGGGGTGGTCACAGAAGGGACAGGGACAAACACTTCTCAGTGCTGCCAAATCACAACAGGCAATGGCCACAAGTTCCGTCTCAGGAGGTTCAGGTTGGGCACTAGGAAAAGGCTTCTCCAGGAAGCTGGTGCAGGCCTGGGAGAGGTCATCAGAGAGGGGGGACCCTGCATCCTTGAGGGAGTGTGGGGTGGTTTATAGGACTCAGTGGAAAAGCCTTGGCTGCTCCCAGCTGCTGTTCCAGACAGGCCAGCCCTGATGGGAGAAGGGACTGGGGACCTGCAGAGCCTCCCTTCAGTGCCCCCTCTGTGGCTCGGTGACCATCAGTGACCTGGCTGCAGCTCCATGTCAACTGCCAGGGCACTGTCAGGTTCTCCAGGACTGACCAGGCTGCCCAGGGCAGTGGTGGAGTCCCCGTCCCTGGAAGGGTTCCAAAAACCCATGGATGTGGCACTTGGGGACGTGGGTTAATCGTGAACATGGCAGTGCTGGGGAATGGTTGGACTCAGTGATCTCAGAGGGCTTTTCCAACCTAAAGGACTCTGTGAGTCCACGACTCTGTGACTTGTGCCTGAGCCTTGTCTGAGCGCTGTGACCTTGCACCTCTGGAAACAATGCTCAGGGCACTGTGATGTGGCAAATAACAACCCTTTTGAATAAATACAGCAGAGAAATAAATCCTAAAGGCCTCAGCTGCTCTGTGGAGACTCCCAGCTTTCTTGCCACCTTCTGACCCGCTCTGGGATCCGTGGATGGTTGGTCTGATACTCCACAGAGCTGAGTGTTGATGAACATTTCCTGAGTACAATGTTTGAGGAGCTGCTCTACCCATTTCCAAAGAGGCTTCGATTCATTGAGCTGTGTAAAGTGAACCTGGAGCCATCCTTCTCCTTTCACCCTCTGGTTGAGCTCAAAAATCAGCTGACATAGTTAAGCTGACAGTCATTAGATTTATATGCCCTTTGCTTCTGGCATTCTGTCCTGTCTGAGGTGGCACTTTGGGTCTGGTGACCTTTGTGGCATGTGGCAAGGCCAGGGTGTCTTGGCTTCTGCCGCAGACGGCTGTGGCTTGTTCTTTAGGGAAGTTTATTTCTCAGGGATGTGCTCATCAGTCAGCCATGCACAGGTTCTATTTTTGCAGGCATACCTAGAGAGTCAGGAAGGAGGCCAAAACCCTTCCGGAGAAGAAGAACTGCAGATCTCAATGTCCTCATCAATGAGGTGTATGTCCAGAAGCTACAAAGGAGAGACAAATTGTCCAGCAGGATAAATAAAGAGAACGGGGACAAGAGAAGCACCTGGAACATGAGATAGCTGCTTAGAAGATGATGGATAGAGGGGGAAATACTACACCAGGAAGAGAAAGCTGGGTTTTTAGTGTAGATATATGGGACAGAGAACTTAAATTGAGCTTTGAAAGATGAACATGTGCACAAACCCCAGAAATTTTGTCTTCATATGCTTGCAGAAGGTGAGCAGCAGCAGTCAATCGTATATTTGGTTGCTCCCTGCTTTTTGGAGCTCTTTAGAGTTTTCCTCTGTCCCTCCCTGGGCTGATGGGAGTGTTCTCTGTGCTGGATTGACCCTCCTGCATCAGCAGCTCCCACTTTGCTGATGCTGCCACTTTGGAGTGGGATCCAAGTTCTTCAATATTGCCATGGAAGGAGCAGGAAGGACGGCCAAGGGAGCATCTCACTGGTGCATTCCTTCTACCAGCAAGGACTGGGAAACTGTCACTGGCCTGGAGGAGCCAGAGGGAGTCCAGAGGGGTACTGAGGAGCACAGGTCAGACATTTCAGGTGATAAACATGGGAGGTTTCCCCTTCTCTCCACCATGGGCTGCCCAGACAGCTCAGCCTCCTCACAGTCACTGTGGGGGGAGAAACCTTCACTCTGGTTCCAACCCCTTCAAACTGGACACGCTCAGCGGGTGCAGAGAGAAGAGCGAGTGGGGAGTGTAAAATGAGATATGCCTGAAAAATAAGCTGAATGAAGCTGAGGAGCACATGAATGAGAGGATGACCCATTCACTGTCATGGTCACAGCTCTGAACCACCCCAGGCTCTGAGTCTGTCACTCAAAGAGATTGGCAAGGACATGCTGGACTCTGCAAATGCCCAAACTATGAGCAATTTGCTTGCCCTTCGGCTTCCCCCCGAGCAGCAGAGTAGGTCTGTCTAAACGCAGGGTTAACCAGGGCCTCTGCATGGGTCTGGTTTCCTCCTGCTCAGCTCCTGGCACTGGCATTGTCTGCCCTTCCCAGAACACGGTCCTGCCTCATCCATCACGGCCCTGACACAGGATCCATCTGTGGCACCCACTCCTGCCTTCCTCCCTTCTCCCAGCCTGGCTGTGACGTACCAGCACCCCTGACATTATCCTGCTCCTTTCCATGATCCATCATCCATCCGTCATCCCTCCATCCATCTCCCTTGAAAAGTGACCTGCTCACTATGTCCCTCCACCTTCCACCCGGAGCCGGCCTGTCTGCCCAGCCAAGAGCAGCAGAATGTGCTTGGGGGTGGAAATCCAGAGCGGGTGTGACTGTGTGTCACCAAAACAAGACAGAAAAACCAGCTCCTGGGCACTGCCAGAGACCAACTGTAAACTGGGATCATCATCCAGCTCCTGTTCAGAGGCTCTGCCTTTCCAAGGCAGTTCCAAACTCAGCTGTGCCGTGGGAAATAATGTTGCAAGGAGGTGACAAAAATCAGTGTGAGACATTAAAAGAGGGGAAGGTGATTTTCTATTAAAAAAAAAGGTTTTCATTCACTCAGACTCACATGCATTGGGGCCAAGATGTGTCCCAGTGGTCTTCCCAGCACGCAGGTACTGGAAGATTTGCATCCAGGGGATTCCAGTGGCATCAGGGAAAGCTCTGGGTACTTAGTACCTGTTAGGACTGGATGCTTTGAACTGGGGTGACTTGAAAAATGAAGTTTTGCATCTTCAGGGGCCTTGAAGTACTGACAGTGACTCCATCATCTTTCCCTGCCTGGACCAGGCCACGTGGAAGTCTGACCCTCACCTTTGGTGCCTGGGCACCTCCAGTTCTGGGCTTGTCTCATCAGAGAAATAACTAGCAAAAGGAGACTCCCATGGCTGGGTTCACAGCTGGTTCAGCTTCACAGCACAGCAAGGAACTAGTCTGGCAAAGATTTCTGAGATCTTCCTCGTTGATCCTAAAAAGAATTACTGCCTGTGATGCTTTTAGAAGTTCAATGTTAGTGTGAAGAGCAAGGCAGCAGTTGCACCTGCAGGGATGAACCTGGATGAAGACTGTTGTGAAAGGGAGCATTGATTGATCTACTACATAAGCTCAAGGAAGGAAATGGCACAGAAACCAAATAAAATTCCTTGTGAAAAGTCTTGCAGTGTTTTTGAAAGGTTAAGACAGTGGGATCACAGAGATTCATCCCAAAGACTGAGAGAAGGTGGAGAGATGTCTCGGGACATCTCAGAACAGAAAGTCCCAGCAAAAATGGGCTTTCCTCTTTAGTTTCAAATGGCACATTCATGAAATGATGCAATTTTTCCTGTCCCCTGCTGGGGAGTGAGAAGAGAGGGAGGTGAATCCCTCTGTGCTCAACTGTCTGGCCTCCCTTGCTCAGAGCCCTCCCTTCCTGCTGCCTGGCTCTTCCCATGGCTCTGCTCTGGCCATTCCCTGGAGCCATGGACAGGGACAGCACATGGATAGAGGAGTGTTCCTGAGAGCACAGACATCCAGAGGGGATGGAGAGACCATCAGACATCCAGAGGGGATGGAGAGACCATCTGGACCTGGAGAGCAGCAGGAGAGCGAAACCATCACTGGAGCAGGAAGGTTTAGGGCAGGTAGGGTGAGAGGGGAAGGAGCTCAATTTGAAGAGAGTCCTCGTTGGTACAAGACTTGGGTGAGCTGATGTGTCACAGAAGTGTTCTCCTGAAGTCCAGGGACAGTGCTCTGCAGGCAGTAACAGGCCTTAACTGCCCTGAGCAACCTTCCCACACCTCTGCCTGCGGCACAGGGACTCTGCTTGAGCTCAGGGCTGGGCCTTCACCTCCTTCCTGTGCTTTGCTGTAGCTGCCCCTGTGTCCAGGTGTACCTGAATTGTTGTTTGGATTCCCCAGGTTCACCTTGGACCTGACTTTTCCCCTTGCCTTTGATGACCATGGGGCTGTTGATGGGACCTGTTGCTGTCCTCCCCACATTGGTGTGGATTGCTCACCCACATCGGTGCACCCGGTCCCTTCCCCCAGGGAAGAGCCCAGCTCTTCCTGCTCCCCAGCATACAGTTCTTACAGGCTGCTGGGCTGCCTGGCCCTGTGACCGGCAGTGAGCACCAGCACTGCCCACCCTGGGCCACAGTCACACGGGAGAACTCGTCACACGCGGCTGCCACGGGATGTTCGGGGGTACAACGCTCAGCTGCCACCCTGATGTGGTAAAAACCCTCACAAGGCCATCAGGGACCGTGCAGCTGCCAGCCAAGCCAGGGGGACAGGGTGATATCAGACCTGCTTTGGGCCAGGGCCCAGGGCAGCCTGGCTGGGTGTCATCTGGCCTGTCCCTGCTGGGGCGGGAGGTCGGGTTACCCCCAGAGCACACGAGGGCAGCTCCTCTCCCTCCGTGGGGCTGGGTCAGGTGAGCTCCACTGCACCTCCTCTGGCATCTACTGGTTCCACTGGAAGGACGCTGGAAAAGGTGAATCAGAAACCTATTTTGGTTTTCCCAGTTTGGTTTTCCCAGTGTGGTTCTCCCAGTTTGGTTTTCTCAGTCTGGTTCTCCCAGTTTGATTATCCCAGTTTGGTTTTCCCTGTTTGGGTTTCCCACTTTGGTTTTCCCAGTCTGGTTCTCCCACTTTGGTTTTCCCAGTCTGGTTCTCCCAGTTTGGTTTTCCCGGTTTGGTTTTCCCAGTTTCGTTCTCCCAGCTTGGTTATTCCAGTTTGATTATCCCAGTTTGATTGTCCCAATTTGATTATCCCAGTTTGGTTTTCCCAGTCTGGTTCTCTCAGTTTGATTTTCCCAGTTTGGTTTTCCTAGTTTGGTTCTCTCAGTTTGGTTTTCCCAGTTTGGTTTTCCCACTTTGGTTTTCCCAGTGTGGTTTTCCCAGTTTGGTT